TAAAAAAAATTGACCTCATACATAGAGAAAAGGGTTGCTTTATCATTTCATAAGAAAAAAATTATAGTAAATATATTAATTCAGGAAAACTTGGCTTATTAGGCAAATCGGGCCTTGAATAGTAGGCTGAGAAGTGAGTTCTGGCTACTAGGTACGACATATATATATATATATATATATATATATATATATATATATATATATATATATATATATATGTACCTAGTAGCCAGAACGTCGTACTCGGCCTACTATGCAAGGGCCGATTTGTCTAATAAGCAAAGTTTTCCTGAATTTATATATATTTCTAAAATGTTTCTTATGAAATGATAAATCTGTTCATTTCCTTATATATAAGTTAATTTGTTTAAGTTTGAGTTAAAACTAACGTAGATATATGACCGAACCTAACCAACCCTAACTAACCTAACCTAACCTATCTTAACCTAACCTAAACTAACACAACTAAGTCAATAATTTATGTTCTTAATATAATGTAATAATAATAATTCAAATAAACTAATTGGAAACAATTTATTGAAAATAAAGAAAATCACTCGGCCTATTAGGCAAATCGGGCCTTGCATATGAATATGACAGAAAGGGTAAGATTAATGATTCTAACACGAATCATCTCAAAATTTCTTATGTTTTTCTTCATTTCATTGTCGAGGGAAGTTGAAAAATTAACTCTCCCAAGTTCCTTTTCACAATTTATTATAGTCTGACGCCTAGGGATGAGTTTCGGAAGGCACTCCTTACATTTTCAAAGACAAATTTTCCATGCTCTGCAAAGGCTTTTATTCACTTGCTTGGGGTGAGGTGGTACAGGACGTGATAGAGATGAACAAGCGGATGAGTGTCAAAATGGATATTAATAGAATATTAAAGGCCTATGTTCTTGCTGCTACTGTCTCTGTGTTGGTTTGAGGGTCTTGTAGTGGGTACAATGTAATTATATGTTAACTGGTTGTTGATCGCTGGTCTTGAATTTTTTGATGTGTAGGGCCTCGCTGGTGTCGAGTCTTCTGTTGTATTTATACTTGTCGATTATTTCAGTGTTGTTTGTTTAGATTTCTATGGTGATGGTCTGGTTGTGTAACATTATATGCTCCTTGATGGAGCCTTGTTGCTTGTGCATTGTTAATCGTCTGAAGAGAGACGTTGTTGTCTTGCCTATATACTGAGATCTTTGGGGCTGACAGTCGCTAAGTGGGCATGTGAAGGCATAGACGACGTTGGTCTCTTTTAAGGCGTTCTATTTGGTGTCTGTAGAGCTCTTCATAAGTAGGTTGGCGGTCTTTTTGTTTTTGTAGTAAATTGTTAATTGTATCTTCTGGTTTGTGTCTGTCGGGAAAACGTTCCTATCAATAATATACTTCAGAACTCTTTCCACAGCTTTATGGGACGTGGAAAAGAGACAGGAGCACAAGAACGTAAGCTGCTTATGTTGAAGCATGTAATACCCTATTAATATCCACTGTTATGCCATTCATCCACTTGTTCACTTCACTCCCGTCCTGTACCATTTCACCCAAAGGGAATATAAGTCTTTGCAAATGCATTATAAACACAAAAGGAGACCCAGCCAGACGCATATCCGTATTCACCTTACTTATCATTGCACAGTTCAGTGCAGTGCGACCATGTCCCCCGGGGAAATTGGCTCTCCTGACCATCATTCTGAAATTATTAAGGTCAAAAGGTCACAGTAATCTCGCTGCAAGAGCAAGGAAAATTGCTGATGAAGACAGGAACAATGAACAGGAGGATTGTAACACCGTAAAGGTGTTTTGTATTTAATATTTACATAGTACAGGAGTCACAGACAAGATTTTGAGAGGCGCCACGTTGGCGGCCCCTAGTAATTAAGAAAGTCACACCACTAAGTGTTAATGACGACAAACTGACCCGTGGTCAGGTCACACGAGTTGACCTTGCATCTGCTCAAGCTGATAATTGTAGCCGGGTAGCCGGGTGGGTCCTTCAAACAGCCGCCAGTTTAAGGTGTAGCTTGGTAGAGTGCCTGGGCTATCTACTTCTGGTCGGAGTTAGCTAGTTGGTCTCCAATAAATTCCCATGGTACTGTACACTCGAGAGGACAGAGACAACGCAGGACAACAGGAGCAGAGCAGTGAACAGACAGTCCAGGCTTTCCGGCTGGGTGGGAACTCTCCCAGTCAATCCCATCCACCCCCCTCTCATTCCAAATTAGGCTTCGTCCTCGGTGAGTTGAACATTAAGGTGACTTGTCCTGTTTCCCAACTAAAAGAGTGGTGTGATTATCTTGGGGCAGACGGCTGTAATGGTTCTCAAATTCTTGTGTCAATGACTCACTTTGTGTATTAATCTTAAACAATAAGTTTGAATTGCTTGAATGATACTACTTAACATGTTAAATATATAGTTGATTCACTTACTTTTTAATCTGACTTTAATTTTGTTCCTATAACTGGGATTTTTGTATATAATATGCCAACAAGAGTGTAAAGTACTCTTGAGATTATAGACATTAAAGAGTCCTGCATGGAACAAGATACATGATGCAGACGAAATATACTAATAATGACCTTTTGATAACATTATTGATAACCTTGTGATACAGACAAATTCCATTCCTTGTCTTGTATCCACTTATTCATCTCTTTCCTTTCATTTTTCTTATAGGTTCATGGCCGTGAAATGTTCTAGAGTTCTCTAGAGTCACGGGTACCTGATCAAGTTACAATGCTTTGAGGTTGTGATACCTAAGTAATCAAATACCTAGGTCACAAGGTGTGAAGCTAGAGAGGTTGCATTAGGAACTCTGGGGGGAATTCATAGAATAGCTAACTAGGGGAGGGATAACGGACCAAAGATAACTATCTCCCCCCCCCCCGTTACAGGATGATGCGCCACCTTGGCAAATTGTAGGAAACGGAAAGACAAATAAACAAAAAAAGAACCAAATAAATAAATCAAGAAGCCAGCCAGAACCCTAGAACAGCCCCCAGACCAATGCCAAGGACCATCTTCAAAACCAAAAAACCAGTAGATGGTCTCACTTATGTTTACATTGCCGCCCCTGAAAAAGATCATCCAGGATCAGATCTCAGAGCCAAACATGACATTAGAGGCAGATATAACATATCCACAGCTACTCCAGATATAATTACAAACCTCAGGAATACAGAACACCTAGTTAAACTAAATCCAGAAGAAAAAGTCACCAAGATGATAGTGCAACATTTCCCGGTTGAAATCGATGCAAACAGACTCTTAGAATGCCCCAGTGTCACAACAGCTGATAGGCGTAAGCACGACAATGTAGAAACAGGACAGGTGCTTGTATCAGTAAAAGGACCTCGCATCAACACTCAGAATGTAGGGATCTACGGACAATTCAGTCTAAGGCTGTACAATCCAGAGCTTATGCACTGTTACAGATGTCAGCGCTGCGGCCACCATAAAGATGGCTGCAGAGGCCTGGAACGATGTGGAACATGCAGCGAGCTTCACAACACCGACATATGCAAAAATCTGCATAAAGAGGAAAAACCAACAAACGCAAAATGCCCAAACTGCGGGGATACACATCACGCCTGGAACAAACGATGTCCTGAAAGGGTAAAAGGAATAAGCCTTTCAGATCTACCCAGCAACCCAAAACCATAACTCCAAGACCTCAAACTACCAGACCAGAATTACATGATCATAATTGCTTTTCACCTTTGTAAATGCACATTAATGACACTTCGAACACTTTATGTAGGACATACGTAAATCTGTGTATCTATGTATTTACGTGTGTAGGTTAGCTTAGCATTTTAAAAAGCACCGAATCACCTTCTGTGGTTGATTGTTCAATAAATCCCTGAACTATATGTTTAACAGATCTCTAACCCTGTCCATGGAGGACAGAAGAAAATGTATATATGCTGGTTAGCATTGTAAATGTGTGGCCACGTCTGTGGTAGAAAATAATAATAATAATAATAAAACTACCAGACCCTCGGTTAAAAGCCAGTGGAACACTCCTCGGCAAGTCCGAATATATGAAAATAAATATCAGCAAAAGACTAAAGCACCAATTCCTTCCAGTATAAACAAGAAAGTGACCTCGAATAACCAGAGAAAACAGAGCACTACTGCACAAGGCAACAACAACCGAATAGATCAGGGCAGCAAAAGGAATACACCTGCTATTGCCTCCAAGTCCTCCCAAGCACGAATGACTATCCCTACATCATCACATACCCCAGTAGCTGGACGTACCAAAGACGCTAGGACCGAACCAAGAGTCTCCTCACCTACCAAGATAAAAGACAGGCAGCCAAAGGCGTATCAAGTGACTACTGTTCCAATGGTTATTGCCTCCCTGTCCGAAACCTTCAGCAAGATGCTTGACAAAACATTACAAGCACTGGAACAGACCAACCCTCAGTTAAGGAAGAAAATGTTAACAGAGTTCAAAAAACCATTTACTGAACTTATTTCTTCCACACTTCTACAAGTCCTACCTGAAAAGATTAGCGAAGTAGAAGTCGAAGAAGGTGACGAAACTGAATTGTTTCAGCAGCCAATGGCAGTCTCCACTCCAACCAAGAAGACACAAGCCGTCGGGGAAATCAGCAGATTCTAACCACCTTGGACTCAATGGATTCAACTCTATTAGAATAATGGATAATCTGAAGATTATACAATGGAATATCCAAGGATTCAAAAAACGCACAAACACTCAGAGCAGCGCTTCTCAATGACAACAAAGATATTATTTTACTTCAAGAAACACTTCTCAAGACTGAAAGAAGTATCAGTATTCCAGGATATCAAGGTTTCCATTGCCTAATCCTACAAGGTGGCACCAGAGGCAGTTCTATACTAGTAGGAAATCATATCAACGCTACGGCAATCACAGACCTACCTGACTGTGGTGAGAACGTCGAAATTATGGGAGTTAATCTCGCTATGAGGAACTCAATGTTGTCCATCTTCAATGTATACAGGAGCCACAGAGAACAATGGATTTCTCTGCAATCTTTGAAACAGCATTCATAACATCTACTATCATCTCGGGTGACCTCAACGCTCATAGTGAATTACGACGTAATTCACTAAGAATCAACGGCAACAGAAGACATATTGAACATGTTTGGATGAAATACCTGAAGTCCGTCTGCTAAACTCGACTGAAGGAAGGAAATTATCAAGAGAAAGTGTCAAGCAATTACGACTATATACCACTGAGAAGGGGGTCAGGATGAGGATTTGGGATGGAACGGGGAGGGAAAGAATGGTGCCCAACAACTTAGACCGTCGGGGATTGACGGCCACCTGCATGACACGAGACCGTCGCTCTACCGTCCAGCCCAAGTGGTTGGGTTAAACTCGACAGAACCAACCCACATTGGTGCGGGGAAACTTCAAGTTCTCTACTTCTAAGACTTGTGCCATGACTTTACCTGGCCACGGGTCGTTCTTCGTCCCTCTTTGTCACTTTATGGTCATCCCCTTAATTACAAAGATTCCGCGAAGCTTTTGGGGTGTCCAGCCCCTACCGTCCAGCCCAAGTGGTTGGGTTAAACTCGACAGAACCAACCCACATTGGTGCGGGGAAACTTCAAGTTCTCTACTTCTAAGACTTGTGCCATGACTTTTACCTGGCCACGGGTCGTTCTTCGTCCCTCTTTGTCACTTTATGGTCATCCCCTTAATTACAAAGATTCCGCGAAGCTTTTGGGGTGTCCAGCCCCTACCGTCCAGCCCAAGTGGTTGGGTTAAACTCGACAGAACCAACCCACATTGGTGCGGGGAAACTGGATCTCACGCTTGTCTCCACACGTATTTATGAGTTGTGTTATTGGTCAGTTGACCATGTACTGAGTAGTGACCACTGTGCTGACTAGTGACCACTGTGCTGACTAGTGACCACTGCGGTAGTGCTATATTGATAACTGTTTTTGTAAGTTATTAATATAGCACTACCTCCTAGACCTCCAGCTCCCGAGCCCGGATGAGACTTTATCAGAAAAGACTGGACGAAGTTTCAAGAATCTCTCGAAACTTGGCACCAAAAATCTACTCCTCCTGATTACACCGAAGAAATGGACCAAGATTTAGTAAATGCAATACAGAGCAGCATATCACGCCATCTCCAAAAGGAAAACAACTTATGGACCATTGGCATTACTGTGATAGGATCAAATAACTACATAACAGACTAAATTGTGTACAAAAGAATTTCAGGATAGAACCGCAGCTAATCTACGACTTCTTAGAGCTGTCAGAGATCATGTGCACGAAGAAACAGCAAAAATCAGATAAGAAAACTGGCTCGAGTGGTGTGCCAAGCTATATCAGCATACATTATTGGGCGACATCTGGAGGCAGATCAACAAGGCCAAAGGAAAATCGCCTCCTACTCTACCCAATCATGTTCATCCAGAGCATGAAGCAGAAAGATTAGCAAACCTATTTGCTTCAAGAGCCAGTTTCACTCAACTTCCTCAAGCAACTCTGACTCACCAACAAAGACTTCAAAAAGCAAAATGGACAAAAACAGACGATGCTTTAGCCATACCTGACAAACTAGACGAACACAAATGCGAACACGCTTGAATGGGTCCCAAGCCAATATGCATCTGACAGGATTCACTTGGGACCCAAGTGGACCCAATATGCAACTGAAAGGATGCAAATTGGGACCTATTCATGCTTGTTCACATTTGTGTTGCTCACGTGGTCCCACCAAGTAAGGTGATTCGATGAAATATCTATGCCCAAGCTGACCATCGAGCGCTGTCGGATCTTGGATAAATAATCTCACGACTACCAAGATTTTTGTAGAGTCGTTCTGGTCTAGTGATTAAGGTACCAGGTACACCAAGGTGCATAGCGCTCCTGGCTATCTAGGTTCGAATCGTTGACCAGACCACACACTAGATGGTGAAGGGACGACGACGTTTCAGTCCGTCCTGGACCATTCTCAAGTCGATTTCGACTTGAGAATGAGGACCCATTCAAGAATGTATATAAGGATTTGAACTTATATATATAAGTTCTAGCTTGTTCGCATATATATGTATGTATATAAGAATGCATGTATATTTGTAAAGACATATGTAAGCACCTGAATTGGAATCTACGTATATTTTCTCTATATTTCGTCATTGCTAGCTCAAGATATTCCATCATGTACTTCAAAGTTATAGTGCGGTGTTGGCCCGAGAGCTAGAGTCCGATCCCAACACTATCACACGCTTTGTTCCCCCACACAAGTGGGTTCCCTTCAGTTCTACGGTGGGACAAAGAGCACAGCCAACAGCTACTCTGCCTCCCACTGTGAAGAAACATTGCCTCTGATGTGGGTCTGGAACAGTGGGCGCGAGGAGATTTACACAGAGAAAGAGGAATAGAAATGCTCGGAGAATCAGGAAGAGTAGTGAGGTTTGGGGATGCAGTAGGAGGAAGGAAATGGAGAATTTGGGAGGGGAGAGGGAAGCAAAGCGCTGAAAAAACGGAGAGTGAGAGAGGAGGGAAATGGTTAGTGAGAGAAAAGGGTTGGCTGCTGTACCTATCACCGCCACTGTTGCCTGCTGTACCTATCACCGCCACTGTTGCCAGTCACGCTACTACCACCATCACCACTACTACCATAACTACTACTACAACCACCGTTGTACCGCCGCCACAGTGACCCACACACACTACCATTAAAGGTAGCCTTAGTCACCGCCAACCACAATGACCACCGCACTGTCACCACCACACTACTATCACCACCACAACCACTCCAACAACCATCACCATCACCATGATGACCATCACCATCACCAACCACAGTGACGAGAACAACTAAGAATAAGATTCTAATACTCCAGAATTTAAATCACAGAGAAATAGACAGACTAACGCAAGACCTGCAGAGAGGGGACATGGGAAGCAAAGTTAGAAGACGCAGCGGTGAAACAACTGCTGAACCAACTTATCACAGAACCAAGATAATAGAATGTGGAGTTTCCATAATTAAATAACAAGCAAATCACATCATTTGAAGGCCTTGACAATGTTTTATAAGCCATTAAAACATACGGGAAACATAATAAAAAAATTTAGGGGGAGAATTTTCTCAGTGCTGATTTTGATATCGTTGATCTTTTGTCTTCCTACAGCGACATACGAATTCGCACTACGGGCTCGCCATAGCCCGTGCTACTTGGAACTTTTTGTTCCCAGTAGCGAAATTTAAACAACAACAAACGACATACGAAGAAAATCGCAGAATGTTCAAGATATTCTGAGACTTTAGCTAGAAAAAATATTAAAAAATGGTGATTTGTAAAGGATGGAAGGAAGGAATGGGACGGAGGGAGAATGGAATGGTGCCCAACCACTTGGACGGTCGGGGGATTGAACGCCGACCTGCATGATGCGAGACTGTCGCTCTACCGTCCAGCCAAAGTGGTTGGGCCCATCAATCCCATTTTCAATTATTTAATCCTAGTTTCATATTTATTCCTATTTTCAAAGAATAATTATTACTAGTAAAAAGATTGCATATTAAACATGAGAAATGATATTGTCGAAGACCTATTGGGATCATACAGTATCTCCTATTTAATCCCAGTACATGTTGAACCAATCATTCTAATCAACAATGAAGCTTATTTATAGTGATTGGAAAGCGAAATCTAATCTAAATAATGTAATGAATTTATCATTCAAGCTTATAGCGAACATGCGGTTTCTCCTTTGGCATATTGTCCGTCGCCATTTCTAACCCTCAGCTGCTTTCTAGTACTATGATGCAACTTGAAAATCAAAACAATCTCTCTTAACAAAACATAAACTTGGTTAAAAACTTGGTTCGGCAGTCTCCGTGGTGTAGTGGTAAGACACTCGCCTGGCGTTCCGCGAGCGCTATGTCATGGGTTCGTATCCTGGCCGGGGAGGATTTACTGGGCGCAATTCCTTAACTGTAGCCTCTGTTTAACGCAACAGTAAAATGTGTACTTGGATGAAAAAACGATTCTTCGCGGCAGGGGATCGTATTCCAGGGACCATAGGATTAAGGACTTGCCCGAAACGCTACGCGTACTAGTGGCTCTACAAGAATGTAACAACTCTTGTATATATCTCAAAAAAAAAAAAAAAAAAAAAAAAAAAAAAAAAAAAAAAAAAAAAAAAAAAAAAAAAAAAAAAAAAAAAAAAAACGTTGTTTATGATTGAGCTATGACTCCTTAAGGAATAAATTTCCTGGTTGTTTTATAAAAGACTTAGAGAAGAAAAACGCAGACACCAATCTCTAATGAACAAATCTGCCTTAATCGACTGAGCTACGACTGAGTCGTAGCTCAGTCGATTAAGGCAGTGTCTGCAACCCGTCCTCGACTCAAGTCCATTACATCCAGCGGTCGACCCCACAGACGCATTCATAAATTTTAACATGTTGTTCATTCAAAACGGGAATTTTCTCAAGTATAAATTAATATTATAATATATTGGCATATTGTGTATATATAGGCATAGGATAGGTTAGGTTAGGTAAGGTGTTTAGGTTCTGTTGGCGATTATTTGTATTTGTAGTACGTGGGTGAAGCATTTACAGCGTTGTGGTTCGAACAAAATTCTTCAGTGAAGCACTTGTTCCGGATATGTTCGAACGTCAGCAGTTGTGAGTCGTGTGTAAACCGCTTTTCATTCATAAACAGGGGGTTTGGCGGGTGCATGGAATCACTTTTGGATCTTTGTTTGGAGGACGGGCTGGCGTCTGGGATCTAAGGCAGCGTCTGGGATCTCTCGGACGCAGGTTCGAATCCTCGTCACGGCCCTTGTGGATTTGTTTATTTGATGCATCACGCAATTGTGATTTCTGTGTGTAACACCTATCTCTATATTACTGGAGTTGACAAAGCCATCACAATCGTCGTTTTCTAGAGAACGCGAAATATATTTATAAAATTTACAATCTTCTCCAATATTCATCCACTTACTATATAACCAGAGAAACAACCCTCTTGATAACATCATCAAAATTCTCAAAATCATCTTGAGTAAGGTTTTATGAAATCATAAGATTCTTCTTAACCAGTTCACTACAACGTCTGTTTCCTGGCTGTATGTTGATGGGCTTGGTCTAGACGTGTACTCG